AGACTCTTCACCAATTCCCTGGTGAATACAGATCCAAACCCCTTGGATCTTAAAACAAGGAGAAATTAACCATCCCCCCTCCTTTCTCCCACCAACTCCTGGTGGATCCAGATCCAACCCCCTTAGTCAAATTGGGTAGTTGGGTATTTTTTGTGTAAGTTTTTGCCCAGGGGAACATCCTCTGTGTCTGGAATCTGTTGTCTGTGAGAGTAACTGGTATGCTAATCTCTCCCAGAGGGTTTTCTTTTACCTTTCTTTTCTTTAATTAAAAGCCTTTTTCTTAATACCTGATTGATTTTTTTCCTTGTTTTTAGATCCAAGGCGGTTTCCCCGCACACAGACAGGGTCACTCACCATTACCACACCGCAGTGCGCTCCCTGTTACGCTCCCAATCAACTCCACAGCCCCGTGCAGTGACCAGGTTGGCCGTGTCCCGGCCTCCGGCCAGCCCTTCCCCACCACCTTGGGGTGTTCGTGTCACCCGGGTGGGAACAGCCTGCACTGCCCTGAGCACAGGGGCTGTGCTTGTGTGCAGAGGATGGGGCCCATAGCACAGAGGAGCTCTCCCTCATTCACTTCAAGGTACCTGCACAGGGCAGTGGGCAGCCCGGCCGCATGCTGTACAATTCCCTGCCAAATACGGTCATGGACTTTCACCAGAGGAGGGAGGGGAAGGAAGCAATGCAGTAGGCCTTAGCAACAGAATAACCGCTTGTTTATGAAATACATGATAACTGCCTGTCTGTAAGAACATGATAACCACTTGTTTATAAAACATAATAACCGCCTATATGAAGAAATTGCTTCTAGTAAAGGTCAACTTCTCCTATAGTTCCAGCTAACTGCCCACATAAAAATGAAACCCTCTGAAGTGAGGAAATAATAGTCGGGCCCTAGGTCAGGGTGGGGCAGCCAGCAAATAGTCAGTCAGAGGCCCAGGCCCTTAAGCAGGGGCTGGGTCAGTTTGTAGCAGCCCAGGCCCTAGGTCAGGGCGGGGCAGCCAGCAAATAGTCAGTCAGTAACCCAGGCCTTAAGCAAGGGCTGGGTCAGGGTTTGTAGCAGCCCCCAGCCTCTCTAGGCCAGGGGAAACAGGGGGAGTCTGCCACCCAAGGAGCGGGTGGCAGGGGGGACGCAGACCCTCCCACTCCACTGCATCCCAGCCCGGGGCCCTAGCAGTGACGGAAACTTGCTGCTGTCAGTGGGGATCCTGGTGCAACACACTGACATCGGCTCTGGCAGTGCAGCAGCCAGACTGGGGTCGGCTGCCCCCGGGCTACTTCCACACTCCCCCTCGTATGGTACCTGGGCCATCTTAGTGTCGTCGGTGCTCTCCACCAGCATGGGCTCCTCGGGGTTGGTAGCGAAGGGCAGGCTCGGCTCCTCCTCGGGGTAGCTGGCACGGGGCAGGCTTGGCCAGTCCTCCTCGGGGTACCGGGCGAGAGGTAGGCTCGACTGCCCCGGTGACTCAGCAGGCCGGTCGCGGCCTGCGGCTGTTTCCCAAGCGGGAGCTCGGCCACGGACGTCTGCTCTCTCTGCCGGCCTGGGCTCCACTTAGCTCTGCAGGCGAGCTTTTATACCTCCGGGTCGGGGCCGTGACCTCGGAGGGGCGGGCGCCGGACCCGGTGACTCTGCCCACGTTGGAGGTTCGGCCGTCAGCGGGGCTGTGGGGTATCCCACCGCCTCGCTACAAAGTACAATATTTATATTCCAATTGATTTATTTGATAATTCTATGGTAAAAACGAGAAAGTCAGCAATTTGCCAGGAATAGTCTGTTGAGATGCTTTAGTATTTTTATGCCTGATTTTGTAAGCAAGTAGTTTTTAAGTGAAGTGAAACTTAGGGTATGCAAGACAAATCAGTCTCCTGAAAGGGGTACAGTCATCTGTAAAGGTTGAGAGCCACTGAGATAAGGGGATGTTTCTAAAAATAAGGCCTCTGACTGATAGGGGGTGGCTGTAAACGGTTTCAAATAAGACAAAAAGAAACTGTCTTAAAAAGAGGCAACACAAACTTTCCCACCACACATACTAGTGTTATCTAACAATTAGGGCATTGTGAGCCCAGGTGGAATGGAAAATCTGTTGATCGGCAAGGAAGAGGGGTGGAAAGACCTTGGGAGAAAAGGAGGTTATAAAATGTATCTGGATTAAGACTGGAAATAAGGGTGAATTGTCTCAAATTGGTTTGAAGCCAAAGTCAGTAATTGGCAACGACAATTACGTTGTTTGTTAGTGGTATAAAAACAGTTATGAATTGGAAGGTTCTTTGTGA